ACCAGGCTGGGCTGTTAAAAATTAATCCCTTGCTGCTTTCTGTCATGAAGCCTCTGAGGAGGACAGTTGGATGGCAGAGGACATGCACATGTGAGAATTACTCAGATGAATCTCAATTTGCAGGAGAGGAAAGGGCCTCAGCTGATGGAAATAGTCTAGACATGTCTTATACATGGGTGATTCCAGAGTTGGTAGCATCCTCTTGGGAAGGATGCTTAACCCTCAATAGGACATTTTAAAGTAGATGATTTCTTCTCATCCAGCTAATAAGCAAAAAAGGTGTCTCTGGGGGACAGGAGTGAGGAATTAGAAAATATCATCTTATTCCCTTGATTGTAAGACAGCAATTTAATGAGAGCTTCGACTTGTTTGTTTGATTTGCAGAATGAGGGAGAGAGGTAGAACGGAAGGAAAACAGAGAGATGCCACATTAAACATGCATGTAGCCTTACTCCCATTCCAGAAATGTAAAAATACATGAAAGTGTACATCTTAGAATCAAGGAAATATGGCAATAAAGCTAATTTTATATATATATATATATATATTTTTTTTTTTTTTTTAATTACCACTGGTAAGTATTTGCTCTTTCTTCATGCTCATTTGAATGTTCCTAACAAGAAAACAAAACTAGGGTAACTTTTCAGAGCAGCCTTAATTTGCCATTCTCAGGAAGAAAGCACCCCTGCAAACCCAGTTTCTAACATATTCATCCAAGTCATCTAGTGGAGGTAAACAGCTCATTTGACTAAAACATTAAACCTAATCAGAGCTTCATATATTTATCTCATCAAGATGCACTGTTGGGAGACAACAGACCAAAGCTGATGCACAGCCCATTCCTCAGTGACCCACATGACTCCTCTCTGTGTTGTGTGTGTGTGTGTGTGTTAGTGTCCCTCATCCCGGTAGTTTTGTGACAACTTAGAAACATGAAAAAGTTTGTCTCTGTACTTTAACAAAGTGGGTTAAAGCTGAGTGTGTGGCGAGCGAGAGTATAGGAAAGTCTGTCCAACCTGGCAAAGAACTATGTTGAAAAGGTCTCTATATATCAAGAGAAAAGAGCAGGAAAAGCAGGGAGTACAGGAAAGGGAGAAGATACACGAGAGTAAGGAGGGAAACAAACTGCTCCCAGGACTCACCCATAGAACCAGGAGGAGATTCACTGGAGACCACATTCCAAGGTGCTTCACAGTCTGCCCCGAATTTCTCTCCATCCTTGCTATGGTTTGAATGTTTGCATTCCCTCCAAAATTCACATTGAAACTAAATCCCCAGTGCAACAGTACTGAGATGTGTACCTCCTAGAAAATAATTGGCCCATGAGGGCTCTACCCTCATGGATGAGATTAATGCTTTATAAAAAGTCTTGAGGGGATGAGTTCACTCCTTCAGATCCTTTCTTCATGTGAGGACACAGTGTTTGTCCCCTCCAGAGGAAGTAGTCTTCAAGGGGCCAACTTGGAAGCAGAGACAGCCCTCACCAGCAACCAGGTCTGCCAGCATCTTGATCTTGGTCTTTTCAGCCTCCAGAACTGAGAAATAAATTTCTGTTGTTTACAAATTACCCAGTCTTGGATATTTTATTGTGGCAGTACACATCAAGTAAGACAACCTTGCCTTTCACTACTCTCTCACAAATACCTCAAATCCCAGAAGATCTTGCTGAATGGGACTGCTCCCTCTTGCCTACACTTGGATATCCCATTCACTTTAGTGCTTTCCTGTCTCTATTTCTCAACCTATGTTAATACCTTCACAGAAGGTAACTCCCCTACCGTATCCAGAAAACATCTTTCTTCTTTTAATGAACATGTTATATGTCACTTCTTCCACGAAGTCTTTGCTGAGCCTACTGGGGTTTTTTTGTTTGTTTGTTTTGTTTTTTTGCAATGCATCATTCTTCTGAAACTACTTTTGTCATATTTTGTGTTATGATCATTTTTTTCTTGTCTTATTTTCCCTGGTTTAATTGCATTCAGAGTAGGCATTTTGTTTTAATCATTTTTCCATCCTCTGAGCAAGGAGAATAGTCATTCAGAGTCATATTCTATATTTAACAGAAAGTACATCAACAATTTAAACCATGGAGGTAATCACACCTCAATGGGCACATGCCTGGAGAGATCTTGAGTCAATGGACCTGCCCGAATCCGTTTTAAGGGTTTCAGTTTTCCCATGTGCCTCTCATTGAGTGAGCCTCTTACCAAGATAAAATGGATTTTGGTATTTTAAAATATTATTTTTTAGACAACGTGATCCCTACAAGCAAAATAATTACTTCGTCTGCTGCTTAACTGAAAGAAAAAAATCTAGTCTAGTGTAAGAGACAAAATCTGGCTGCTCTGAATTTGTTGTGGGGCAGGATGTAAAACTGCAACTGGGCTATTTCTACCTTCTATGCTGCAGTTAGACCCTACATTCCATATTGAATGAGTCCCACTGAATCTCCACACGTATCACACTATAGCCTAAATCATAAACTAGTTATCAGGTGTCTACTTCCCCAGACTAGACATAGGCTCCTCATTCACTGGGACCCATTGTTCCCCACCTTAGTCTTGTCAGTGCCCACCTGGCACTTACTGAGCACTTACTAAATTATTTATAGAATTACTCCAGGCAAAATAAAAGGGGAAACTCTAAAGCCTGATCTTGGACTTTCTATTGCTATAAAAGAAATCATTGAGACAATGGGTAACACAATGGCTATTAGATAATAGAACTGAATTGATGTTAACATTTTTTGAAATTTTACTTTAAGTTCTGGGATACATGTGCAGAATGGGCAGGTATGTTACATAGGTATACACGTGCCATGGTGGTCTGCTGCACCTATCAATCCATCATCTAGGTTTTAAGCCTCACATGCATTAGGTATTTGTCCTAATGCTCTCCCTCCCCTTGCCCCCACCCCGCTGACAGGCCCTAGTGTGTGATATTCCCCTCCCTGTGTTCATGTGTTCTCATTGTTCAACTCCTGCTTATGAGTGAGAACATGTGGTGTTTGGTCTCCTGTTCCTATGTTAGTTTGCTGAGAATGATAATTTCCAGCTTCATCCATGTCCCTGCAAAGGACATGAACTCATCCTTTTTTATGGCTGCGTAGTGTTCCATGGTGTATATTGCCACATTTTCTTTATCCAGTCTATCATTGATGGGCATTTGGGTTGGCTCCAAGTCTTTGCTATTGTGAATAGTGCTGCAATAAATATACACGTGCATGTGTCTTTATAATAGAATGATTTAGAAACCTTTGGGTATATACCCAGTAATAGGATTGCTGGGTCAAATGATATTTCTAGTTCCAGATCCTTGAGGAATCGCCAAACTGTCTTCCACAATGTCTGAACTAATTTACACTCCCACCAACAGCATAAAAGTATTCCTATTTCTCCACAGCCTCGCCAGCATCTGTTGTTTCCTGACTTTTTAATAATTGCCATTCTAACTGGCGATCTCATTGTGGTTTTGATTTGCATTTCTCTAATGACCAGTGATGATGAGCTTTTTTTCATATGTTTGATGGCTGCATAAATGTCTTCTTCTGAGAAGTGTTTGTTCATATCCTTCACCCACTTTTTGATGGGGTTGTTTTTTTCTCGTAAATTTGTTTAAGTTCCTTGTAGATTCTGGATATTAGCCCTTTGTCAGATGGATAGATTGCCACAATTTTCCCTCATTCTGTAGGTTGCCTGTTTACTCTGATGATAGTTTATTTTGCTCTGCAGAACTCTTTAGTTTAATTAGATCCCCATTTGTCTATTTTGGCTTTTGTTGCCATTGCTTTTGGTGTTTTAGTTGTGAAAACTTTGCCCATACCTATGTCCTGAACGTTACTGCCTAGGTTTTCTTCTAGGGTTTTCATGGTTTTAGGTTTTACATTTAAATCTTTAATCCATCTTGAGTTAATTTTTATATAAGGTGTAAGGAAGGGGTCCAGTTTCCGTTTTCTGCATATGGCTAGCCAGTTTTCCCAGCACCGTTTATTAAATAGGGAGTCCTTTCCCCATTGCTTGTTTCTTTCACATTTGTCCAAGATCTGATGGTTGTAGATGTGTGGTGTTATTTCTGCGGCCTCTGTTCTGTTCCATTGGTCTATGTATCTGTTTTGGTACCAGTACCATGCTGTTTTGGTTACTGTAGCCTTGTAGTATAGTTTGAAGTCAGGTAGCTGGATGCCTCCAGCTTTGTTCTTGTTGCTTAGGATTGTGTTGGCTATACTGGCTCAGCATACCACCCTCAAGACACCTGATCTCATCTGATGTTATTTATTTATTCATTCATTTATTTATTTATTGAGACGGAGTCTTGCTGTGTTGCCAAGCTGGAGTGCAGTGGCACGATCTCAGCTTACTGCAACCTCCAACTCCCTGCTTCAAGCAATTTTCCTGCCTCAGCCTCCCGAGTAGCTGGGATTACAGGCATGTGCCACCACACCCAGCTTGATGTTAATTTTTGATTAAGCATTATACTGTGATTATTATCAAGTAAGAAAATTCTTTACTTTTAGAAAGCACACACTGAAATATTTAGAAGTAAAGGAACGTCATGTATATAACTTTTTCTTAATGGGTTCAAAATTATGTGTTTGTGAATACACACACACACACCATGTTAATACAGGGAACCTGGGTGAGGGTATTCATAAATTCTTTGTACTATTCTTGCAACTTTTTCTGTAAATCTGAAATTATGTAAAAACAAAAAAGGTATGGGGGGGATCTAAATATTATTATCTTACCTGTGTTCTGCTAAGATAGCCCATACTTATAAGGATTAAGTAGCTCAACCAAGCTTATACGTGGTATGGCAGATGTGGTCTTTACAGAAGCAGATGCCCAGAAGGGAGTAGAACTGGAAAAGATTTTACTGGGGAAATTCCTGTTAAAGAGGGGAAGATGCAGGAGTGGGCAGGGTGAGTTTTAGATAGCTGTGCAGCTCTGACTCCTGAGAAGGAGAACAGGAAGGAAGCAGGCTGCCTTTATCCAAGTCTCTGGAGGCCTCTCATCTCCAGCTTTTTGGAGAAGGGGCCTGTGGTTTTGCATGAATGGAAGTAAGCTTATCATTTTAATGTGTTTAGGAACTAGGATATGATGATACCTTTCCTCTGATTAGTGAGCACTCCCTTACATTCTGTGATGAAGTCCTTGTAAACAATAATCTTATTTTTTAATTCTGAGCCCATAAACTTATTTTCCATTAGCTTATGCAATCACATTATCTTAGAGATATTGCAAAGTGGGCTGTAGTTCAGCACATTACCTAGTTAATTAATCAGGCCTGATATTTTCCCTAGCCAGTTTTTTGGTGCAACAGAACATCAGTCAGATTGCAACTTCATAGTGAAGAGTATCATTCCAGCAATGATAAACCTTTAGATTCACATGGGATTACCAGAAGTCGAATTCTGCATCAAGAAAAGATGAGACATCAGTGGGGAGAATAAGACCAGCATCAGTCACAGGCCCTGAAAGAAGTGTTTTACTTAAAGTTCTCAGGATTTTGTCAAGAAATAATTTTCATAATAACTCAAAAGATTCCTATCATCAATGATATATTTTTAATCTAAGTCAGCACTGTTTGGTCTGTAGGTGACAAGCCATTAAAGGGTTTACAAGTTTAGAATGCAGGCCAAGCATGATTGGCATGGATAACATTCCCCTCATATATAGCTCTTATACTTTTACAAAAACATGCTGATTCTGTCATTATTGATAACATGTAAATACAACTTAAAGCATTACTAAGAATAGGCATTATCACTAGGTTATTTGTCAATCAATAGATGAAAACAGTACAACTTCCAGCACACAATACCTGGTGATGCTTTTCTTAGTTTCAAAATGTACCTTATATTTTAAAATGTTGGGAACCACTGCTATAGATGATGCCTCATACCATTAAATATCTTGCACACTATACTAAGTCCCCAGCATCCTCGGGTGAGGGCTTTCATAAAATTGATATCACGTTCTTTTTTATTAACAGTCCTGTATATTTTCAAAACTTTAAAATAAACACAAAGAATATGTAGGTATAAATGTTATAATTTCAAAGACAACACTAGTATGTAAGTTTTTCTTATCTAAATACATACTAGGATACTTCCTATTTCAACACATGTACCTACAAACTCGTGGCCATGCACATAACCTTGCTTCCTGCCCCTTGTAGGAAAGTTAGGATATACAACATTGTACATTGTTTCAACTTAAATCTTAGAAAATTAATGAAGTTGGCATTTAAAAATTCTGATCTAAGAAATAGAAATACAGGAAGATAATTATTCCTTGGATTAAAAACACTGAAGGCTGATGAAAAGTTAAGATTTAAATCTGGCCTGGATCATTAGACTTCAGAAGTTCTACTCCCAATTATCAAACACAGCATTCTGAGTGTTTTTCAGCCAGTCCTGTTCTCTTCTGTATCTTTCAAGATCACTGGGATATCACATTCTTAGTAGATTCTTTTGAGTACTTCCAAATCCAGCTGGAAAGGCAAAAAATAAATCAATTTACAATTTATAAGATGAATAGCAATAGGGACTATCATAACTAATGTGTTAATTCAATAAAATGAAGGGACTGTGTATTTATTTCTGTATTCTAGATGCAGAACCTAGATTACAAATTCTATGTGATCAAATTTCATTTTGGAAATCAAATTCAATTTTTACCTCTCAGATTTAGCACCAGCTTTTTCTGTTTCTGAATCTTCACAGTGCAGTACAAATTGGCATCACTCTGGGGGACACAGAAGTGTAGGCAGTTAAATTGGCTGTTTTCACACCTATATGTAAAGCTCTCCTACATAACAATCATTCAGAAACTATCCACTAAAAAAAGTTACCATTTTATTTCAAAAGCAAGCCAAAGCCATTCAGAGGTTTTGAAATAAAAGTATTTTTTCAAAAATATAACATCTTAGAAAAAATTCTGGTTATTCAGTGGAGAACTCCTTTATGCAAATATTAGGCGGGGGTCTAAAATGTGTCTGCTTCATTGATATTGCAGAAAACATAAATGCTACAACTAAGCTCTTTGAAGGGAATATGCTGAGAACATGTAGATTTGTAAGCAAAGGTAATCTAGTCCAGCATGATTTGAAGGGTCCAGGCCTTCTTTTGTATCACATAAACCTTACGCAGCAATGTAATCCCCTATACACACCCACAGACACATAAACACACGTACATACACACAAATACACACACACATACACACACACACAGAGAGAATCCTTAGTTACTTTTACCGTTAATCCATTACCTTGTGTCAGATATATCACCCTGGTGATTTTTTTAATTAAAGTTTTTCTATTACAAATAACTTCTGAAGTCCCTAACTCTTTATTTTATTTATTTATTTATTATTTTTTAAAACTTTTTATTTCCATAGGTTTTTGGGGAACAAGTAGTATTTTGTTACATGAATAAGTTCTTTTTTTTAAATTTATTATTTTATTTTATTTTTCCATAAGTTATTGGGGTACTGGTGGTATTTGGTTACATGAGTAAGTTCTTTAGTGATAATTTGTGAGATTTTAGTGCACCCATCACCTGTTCAGTATACACTACACCATATTTGTAGTCTTTTATCCCTCACCCCCTCCCACTATTCCCCCCAAACCCCCAAAGTCCATTGTATCATTCTTAGGCCTTTGTGTCCTCATAACTTAGCTCTCATATATCAGTGAGAACATACGATATTTGGTTTTCCATTCCTGAGTCACTTCACTTAGAATACTAGTCTCCAATCTCATCCAGGTCACTGCAAATGCTGTTAATTCCTTCCTTTTTATGGCTGTGTGGTATTCCATTGTGTGTGTGTGTGTACATATATATATATATACACTGCAGTTTCTTTATGTATGTGTGTGTATGTGTGTGTGTATATATATACACACACACATATATATATGTGTGTGTGTATATATGTGTATATATATGCAGTTTCTTTATCCACTCATTGATTGATGGGCTTCTGGGTTGGTTCCACGATTTTACAATTGTGAATTGTGCTGCTATAAACGTGTGTGTGCAAGTATCTTTTCCAAATAATGACTTCTTTTCCTCTGGGTAGAAACCCAGTAGTGGGATTGCTAGATCAAATGGTAGTTCTACTTTTAGTTCTTTAAGGAATCTCCACACTGTTTTCCATAGTGGCTGCACTAGTTTACATTCCCACTGACAGTGTAGAAATGTTCCCTGTTCACCGCATCTCTGTCAACATCTGCTGTTGGTTTTTTCATTATGGCCATTCTTGCAGGAGTAAGGTGGTATCACATTGTGGTTTTGATTTGCAGTTCCCTGATCATTAGTGATGTTGAGCATTTTTTCATATGTTTGTTGGCCGTTTGTATATCTTCTTTTGAGAATTGTCTATTCATGTCCTTAGCCCACTTTTTGATCGGATTGTTTTTTTCTTACTGATTTGTTTGAGTTTGTAGTAGATTCTAGATATTAGTCCTATGTCAGATGTATAGATTGTGAAGATTTTGTCCCACTCTGTGTGTTGTCTGTTTACTTTGCTGACTGTTCCCTTTGCCGTGCAAAAGCTCTTTAGTTTAATTAGGTCCCAGCTATTATCTTTTGTTTTTATTGCATTTGCTTTGGGGTTCTTGGTCATAAAATCCTTGCCTAAGCCAATGTCTAGGAGGGTTTTTCCAATGTTATCTTCTGGAATTTTTATAGTTTCAGGTCTTAGGTTTAAGTCTTTAATCCATCTTGAGTTGATTTTTGTATAAGGTGAGATATGAGGATCTAGTTTCATTCTCCTACATGTGGCTAGCCAATTATCCCAGCACCATCTGTTGAAAAGGGTGTCCTTTCCCCCACTTTATGTTCGTGTTTGCTTTGTCAAAGATCAGTTGGCTGTAAGTATTTGGGTTTATTTCTGGATTCTCTGTTCTATTCTACTGGTCTATGTGCCTATTTTTATATCAGTACCAGGCTGTTTTGGTGACTATGGCTTTATACTATAGTTTGAAATCAAGTAGTGTGATGCCTCCAGATTTGTTCTTTTTGCTTAGTCTTGCTTTGGCTATGCAGGTTCTTTTTTGTTTCCATATGAATTTCAGAATTGTTTTTTCTAATTCTGTGAAGAATTATGGTGGTATTTTGATGGGGACTGTGTTGAATTTGTAGATTGCTTTTGGCAGTATGTTAATTTTCACAATATTGATTCTATCTGTCCATGAGCATGGGATGTGTTTCCATTTGTTTGTGTCATCTATGGTTTCTTTCAGCAGCAGTGTTTTGTAGTTTTCCTTGTAGAGATCTTTTGACTCCTTGGTTAGGTATATTCCTCAGTATTTTATTCTTTGCAGCTATTATAAAAGGGGTTGAGTTATTGATTTGATTATCTGCTTGGTTGCTGTTGGTGTATAGAAGAGCTACTGATTTGTGTACATTAATTTTGTATCTAGAAACTTTGCTGAATTCTTTTATCAATTCTAGGAGCTTTCTGGAGGAGTCTTTAGGGTTTTCAAGGTAAACGATCATATCGTCAGCAAACAGTGACAGTTTGTGAAGTCCCTAACTCTTTATTTTGAATTCATTCATCAGATCACAGAGTAGATTTATCCCATTGAAGTTGAAGTCCTTTCCAGCTTACAGATTCTCTGCTTCTCTGGCTCTTCTAGCTAGCCACACAGATTAAGACTGCTGAGAACATGAAGCACCTTGTAGCAGGTAGCAGTTAGAGACTCTGTGAAAAACAGAGCTGGATGAACTGGAGGAATGTTACAACAATGAGGAAAACGAGGCCGGAGACTCTAAAATGTGCCAGGTATTGCACCAAAGATTAAAGATAAATAAATCTCTTAGTCCTTGTTAATCTTATCAGATTAACTCCTCAGTAAAGGTACATATTTAAAGATACATTATAGGCCAGTGTGGTGGCTTATGCCCATAAAGCCAGCATTTTGGGAGGCTAAGGTGGGAGGATTACTTGAGGTGAGAGGATGTCTTGAGGCCAAGAGTTCAAGGCCAGCCTGGGCAACATAGACTCCATCCCTACAAAAGATTTAAAAATTAGCTGGATGTAGTAGGGTGCACCTGTAGTCCCAGCTACTCACTCAGTAGGCTGAGGCAGGAGGATCCCTTGAACTCAGAAGTGAGAGGCTGCAATAAGCTATGGTTGTACCAGTGCACTCCAGCCTGAGCGACAGAGCAAGAATTTGTCTCTTAAAAAAAAAAAAAGATACATTATAAGGCTAACATTTAGGGATTTGGTGCAAGCAGAATTTCACTTGTCACATAATCAAACTCTATATTTTATCATCAAATCTTAGCTATAATGTGGAAGAGGCAAAAAGTTTCCTGATGTGTTCTATATATGCCTAATTCCATATCTCTAATACTTCATATGGCCAGTATAAAATTAATATACATGAATATATAAAAAATGAATATACATAAAATGTTAAGTGAATACACATAAAATTTAATATATAATTTATATATTACATATAGATACATAAAGTCATCCAATGGGAACAGGTTGGTTTGCTCAAAGATCTTTACCCAATGATCAGTTAACCCAAATTCAACCCACTTTTGATTGGTTATTTATCTGTTCTGATGTTACACTATCTTTTGCCTCTTTTGGGCAATTAACTCATGATACAGTACGAAATGGGCAGGATACATTTCAAGCAAGAGTCTCAGGCATAATTCCCTATAGTTGCTTCTTCCATTTCTTTTGATATATGAGTGGAACGATCCAAGCTGGAGGACTGAAGCAGAGATTTAAGAGTGAAGTTGCCCCTCCTGGTGTATTTTGATATATGACACCGACAATGCACAGTGTCTTCCAGATGATTATTTTGATACTATGTAAATTGGACAGCTACAACCTAATAAACCTGCTGCTTCTCCAAATTCTGTATACCAGATGTGAAATTGTTATAAATACAAATCACAAACTACTTCAAACAATTGCATTCATTCCTTTTTATTCATGCATTCTATGAATATTTATTAAGTGCTACTATGCTACATGCTGGTGGTACATCATGGCGTGGCAGAGATAGGTAGTGATATAGTTTGTATGTTTGTCCTCACCCAAATTTCATGTTGAATTGTAATCCCCAGTATTGGAGGTAGGGCCTTTAGGAGGTGATTGGATCATGGGAGTGAGTTTCTCATGAATGGCTTAGTGCCATCCTCTTGGTGCTGTTCTTGCCATAGTGAGTGAGTTCTCACAAGATCTGGTTGTTTAAAAGTGTGTGGCACCTCCCTTGCCCTCTCTTGCTCCTGCTCCTGCCATGTGAGATGCCTGCTCCCCTTCATCTTCTGCCATGATTGTAAGCTTCCTAAGGCTTCATGAGAAGCAGATGCCAGTGCTATGCTTCCTAGATAGCCTGCAGAACTGTAAGCCAATTAAATCTCTTTTCTTATAGATTACCCAGTCTCAGGTGTTTCTCTATAGCAATGCAAACATGGCCTAATACAGGTAGCTACCACCAAAAATTAATGTGTCCCCTTCCACAGTATTGAGATGACCCTAGGAAGTGGCTATTCATTCAGGAGTTCCATTTCTCAAACACCTTTCCACCTTGGGTAGAGCCATGTGAGTAGCTCTTACCATCAGAATGTGTTTGGAGGTAATGCATGTCACTTCTGGGTCAAGGACATTATAAATGGGTGCTTTCTCTATCTTTCTTTCCCCTGCTTGAAGCAGAGGATTCTGAGGTCCTAGGGGATAGTGGAGTAACAAAACAGAAAGAGCGTGAGTCCCTG